CTTCTTTCTGTGACTCTAGTCAACCTCCAACTACACTAAAAAAATGTACATACATATAGTGATGGCCACTAACCCCCCCCCCCCCACCATTTTTTTCATGCCCCTCCCCTCTCTCTTTCGCATTGCGCTTTTACCGTATCACTACTGTCTGTATTTACAACTTTTTTAAGGCGATGTGGACAAGCGGACCATAAGCCTGAGGATTTAGAGCCGCGCAGCTGGTGCTGTCGCCACGGACTGTACAGGATATGATGTTCAATTCCACCCTCTGACAGAAAAGCACCATCGTCTTACGGAGGGGTTGAACCCGGGTCTCCCGCCTGACAGCCCGACGTTGTAACAGCTCGGTCAGCCGCTGCTCGCTGGCCTGCCGCTCCTACCGTAGCAATGGGAAATTCAGGCGGTAATGAGGGTCAGCCGCCGCCCCTCTCCCCACCCCCTCATAAACTTGCTGTGCTGTTGCCGTGCATAAATTAACTTTTTATACCTCGGATCCTGCAACGTGACCCACACAGCACCTGGTGACGAGACACTAATGAGGTTTACAACTTGACAAATAGAATTTCTGAGTGAGTTGATTACATTTCATTTCTTGTTTATTCTTCAGCAAAAGATCAGTGACCCTGGGTCCTGATGGCACCCGCCAGAGACAATGGAGTAGGGTACTCCTGTACTTTGTGTGAGCTTCTTTTACGTTAAGTACATTGACCGACTGAGCGGTTCTCAAGTTGTTAGATTTGTATGAGTAGTTACAGATGAGGAGTAGGCGGTGATGGTGTCGCTGTTTCTTCGGGTCTTCGTGTTTCTTTTCCCTGCCTTTAACATATAAATACAAGGAGTTAGGGGACGTCTCTTTTCCTAATGATCAGAACACTGAGAGGGCAGTAATTTGGAAACATATACACTTCCAAGTCGGCTCTGTGGCTAAGTCGATGCGAACGCTTCGTAATGCCGGGATGCCGGGTTCGATCAAAGCTGCGGGCCATGCGCCTTGCGTTGGTTTAGACAGTGGTATCAAGAAAGCTGAACGTTCAGTAAGCAATGGCAAACTACTGGACGTGAATTTACCTAGAAAAACCATACGTTGGTTCTGCAACGTCATGTAAAGGATACGCAACTAACCTATATAAACTTCCAAAGAACAGTGGATTTCATTTACAAGCTTACGATGTATTTCTTCTGGAAACTAATAGGTTTTGTGTGTGTGTGTGTGTGTGTGTGTGTGTGTGTGTATATAACAAGGCACTCTCTGCAGAGTTGTCTATGTTGGAAATTATTACGTGTTCGGCGTTTAATGAATCTTATCTAGACATAATTAGCTGGTCAGTATATCTTACCTGGAAACTAGTAGATGTTCTGTGTACACTAAATTTGTTGGAAGCTGATGAATGTTATGAGTATACTGAATCTTTTGGCAACTGGTAGATGTTTTATGTACACTAAATCTCTGTTGGGAGCTGGTAGATGTTTTATGTACACTAAATCTCTGTTGGGAACTCTGTTGTGTGCACTTAATTCCTGTTAAAAACTAGTAGATGTTTTGTGTGCATCGAATCTCTGCTAGGAACTTGTAGATGTATTGTGTGCACTTAATTTATGTTGAGAACTGATAGATTTTGTGTGTGCACTGTATCTCTGTTGGGAGCTATTAGATGTTCTGTGTATACTGAATCTCTATTGGAGCCGGTTTTGTACCGAGCAAATCTCTTCAAGGGCTAGTAGATTTTCTGTGTACAGCCAGTCTGTTTTGGAGACAAATATATCTTCTGAGTACACTGCCTGAAATGGTATGGCCACATGTGAGAATAAATAAAACGATGCCGGCTACTAGAGAATGAAGACTCCAGGAGGCAGAGGGAGGCCTAGAAGAAAATGGATTGAAGAAGTTACGGACTGCCTAAGACTTTACAACATCACAGCATACTTGGCAGCCCTAGTTCGGCTACTTATCTTCTAGTAAAATTCGACGCCTAGCAGCACAAAGTAGGTATTGAACAAACGAAGAAGGAAAGTACGTTGCCTCTTATGGGAAGGTAGAGATGTTCTATGCATATTGAATAAATAGTATAAAGGCAGAACTAACGGCGTCGAAATGTCGTTATTTAGACGAACGTTCCGATAACATCACATGAGAAGGTAGGTCATAACACATTACTGACTGAAGAAAACATCGTAGAGGTCAGGCATTCAGAGTACGCAAGGCAGTTGAAGGATGCAGCGACGGGCTTATGAAGAGCAGAGCAGAAGAAAGATAGGTGTTTATGTAAACAGCGTCAAGTGTTGAACGCGGGTAGTTCTAAATAAATACACAAGAGAAGACGAACACATAAGTGTATATTGTTAGTTGCGTATCGTTTAAAGGACGTCACAGAACCGACCCCAGCATTTTTTGGCTGTTGTGGTTTTTCTAAGCAGATTTTACGTTCAGTAGTTTGCCATTGTATTGAACGGTCAGCTCTCGGTACCAATGTCGAAACCAGCGCAAGACAAATCGTCCGCA